CATGGGTTGATTAGCGGGATAATTGTGCAGCGACTTGTTCGCCTATGGGGAAAATAACACCGTCTATCCAGTCAGGATCGCTCCGCTACCTGGTTGGGATCCTGATCTGCCCGACGAGGCTCCATTAAATAGTGAAATGATTTTTAGGTGTTTATGTTTAGTTTAGGCACGGTTAGATTTTTATATGTTGTGATATGTTGTTAATACAGTAGTTTTTTCTAATTATTGTGTTCTAGTGATTTCATGGCTCAATTCGATTGTGTTGTGTTGGAACATAAATAGATGGATCTTTGGTGGAAGATGAAGTGATTAAAGTTAGGTTAAAAGGCGGGGAGCCGGGTATTTCCTGCCGTTCGGGTTTTTTTCGGAAACAAACAACGGATTATTGTTGTTAGAATAACAACATGGGTCTGATGTTTTGTTAAATGATTTCAGTGTGTCTGTATTTAGCACAGAGTTATGGATCTCCCGTACATATGGATCTTAAAAGTTCGCTGTACTGTACTGTAATGTATTTGACTTTTTTCGACATGAGCCTCCGTGTGGAAACGCCCACTGCAACCCCTGGGGATCATGTCCATTGCAGCTGGCTTCAGTATAGTTACATTATATCTATACGGCCTCGCGTTTCAACTGTCTGAAATCGAATCGTACATCTGTATTCAGTGGGACCATGTCTTTGGCCGAATAGAATGGATATTGTGTCTGTGACGCCTGTACCATGTTTTCTGTTTCCTACCAGGCAGTTGTTAGAAAAATCAATGTTGATATGGCGTAATTTGAATTAAATACCATTGTAGATTTGAAATCACGTTTTATTCTGAAAACCGAAGGTTCGTCACTTTAGCTTGAACACTTTTTGATTCTGAAAATTACGTCACTTACCGGTTGGATTAGCATCTGGCGGAATGCATTACGATTCAAACCTTGAGACGAAGGTGAAATGACATGTGATGTGTGTACACTGTCACATGGGATTAGCGACTGCTTTAGTTGACGTAATAGATGTGTAGGCAGGAATGTTTAAATTAAACCACAGACGCACAGGAATGTGTGCAATTTAGCTACAGAAAAGCAAGGGAATTGCATGGACCGCCCCCGGACAACGCCGGCGAATAGGAGAAGACTGTGATGACAAAGGAAGAGCAAGGCCGGAAGATTGGGGGCTCTTCGAGGCCCCGCTGGACCTGAACTGACGTTTCGGATGTGGAGAGGCGGCTGCCACTCGCCATTTCATTTTGTACAACCACCGCATCTTTTTGTGTAATTAAATGCTGTTAACTTTTTATAAGCTTCCCTTGACTCTTTTTCAGTCTCTCCTGCCTTCAGGGTTCTAGAATTGCTTTCACAGTCCCTGGACAAATGCGTCTTCAAGCGACACCTGACCCGACTTTACTTTTAGACATTTCACCAGCATTCTTGTTGAAGCAGATACTATTTTTCATACATTCTTCGTATTCCAATAAGTGCTTCCTGTCTGTTGAGGTGGTGGGGTAAAGTACTTGTGTTACCTCCTAAGGCAACGATTTTAGTTCAACAAGATTTGCAATAAATGTTTGTTTGGTCTACGTCAGATTTGTTTAATCCAAAAAACCTCCAAACGACAGACACAGCTCCTCTCCTCGGCACAAGTTATTCTTGTGTGTCATATCTCCATCTCCAGTCTCATGTTCTTCAGTGTCCATCTTTACATTCTGCTTCACATAGTACGTTACTGCTAATACGCTTTACGCTGTACCCAAGCATGTATTTCAACGGTGCGGGTGTGAGCGCCCTTCGCCACTTCTTATGCGCTACTTTTTTTTCCCCGCAAGTATTGTTGTATATGAAAAATTCATATCATATGATAAAAAGTTCATGGTATTCGGTATGAATCGGTATACCGCCCAGCACTACTTTACGGTTAACATTAGTGTACTCAATCTAATGATTAAAAGTCCAAAGCTCCAAATCAATAACAGATGTTACATTATACAGACAGGAAGAGTGTGGAACATGTTCTCTAAAGGTTGGTTGGTGTACCATGCTCAGGCCCTTCGCGGGGTCATACTTCGGTCCCAGCACGAACACTTTCTGGCCTTTCTTCACCACCCCGCTGTAGATCCGTGCAAACGCCACGAAGGTGTGCTGCTCCTCTTCCTCCTGTGGCTTTGAGTCCTTCTCCATCTTGGCTGACAGGAAGCACAGGACAAACAGGAAGTTATTTAGGACTCAAACACTGGAAACATTCTTACTGTACAGATTCACACACTGGAGGCTGTACTTAGCCATAATTTACTTAGCCATCATTTATGTAGTCGTCATTTAGGTAGCCGTCATTTACGTAGCCATCATTTACTTAGAGATCATTTACGTAGCCATCTTTTACTTAGCCGTCATTTACTTAGCGATCATTTACTTAGCCATGATTTACGTAGCCATGATTTACGTAGCCATGATTTACTTAGCCGTCATTTACTTAGCCGTCATTTACGTAGCGATCATTTACGTAGCGATCATTTACGTAGCGATCATTTACTTAGCGATCATTTACTTAGCGATCATTTACTTAGCGATCATTTACGTAGCCATCATTTACGTAGCCATCATTTACGTAGCCATCAATTACATAGAGATCATTTACTTAGCCATCATTTACAGCCATCATTTACGTAGCCATCATTTACGTAGCCATCATTTACGTAGAGATCATTTACGTAGAGATCATTTACGTAGCCATCATTTACGTAGAGATCATTTACGTAGAGATCATTTACGTAGCCATCATTTACGTAGCCATCATTTGCGTAGCCATCATTTACGTAGCCATCAATTACATAGAGATCATTTACGTAGCCATCATTTACAGCCATCATTTACGTAGCCATCATTTACTTAGCCATAATTTGCGAAGAGATCATTTTCTTAGCCATCATTTACGTAGCTATCATTTACTTAGCAATCATTTACGTAGCCATCATTTACGTAGCCATCATTTACGTAGAGATCATTTACGTAGCGATCATTTACGTAGCGATCATTTACGTAGCGATCATTTACTTAGCGATCATTTACTTAGCCATCATTTACGTAGAGATCATTTACGTAGAGATCATTTACTTAGCGAGTACTAATATCCCATGTTTGAAATGCTTTAAATGCTTTACTCCTAGGATCAATGGAAACATGTTCTCTCTGTGACAGACAATGGTGTAAAAACTGAGCACAAACAAACACCTATTGGCAAACTAAAAAATATATATAAATATTGGTACCAGTGTTTTTGCAAAGTGTTGTGAATTTAGATAAATTAAAAGATAGATAGAAAAGACTCAGGGGGAGGGTCAAGCTAACCTGTGCTGACTTCTGCAGAATGGCCTTCCTGTGGCATGCTCCCTGAGATGGGGGGGGCTGAGGGGCTCTCTGCTGCCGTCTGATCAGCTGCCAGTTTTTCAGCATGTCTCTGTCTCGCCAGATCACGGCGCTGTGCAATCTCCTCGTGTGTCAACGGCCTAAAAACATACACACACAACAGCAGTGAAGTGAGGCTTTGGTTTACTGAATATCTGAGTATGTTATGTGTCTCTTCAGGTACCGGTGAGATGATAAAACACAATCCAGGAAGTCAAGTTTGATCAATGAATGAGTTTAAAGATCAGCTTGAAGGACAACACTGCAGTTCCCTGGCTCACTATATTATTATTATTTTTTAACTTTAATTTTTCACAAAAGAGATGCTTAAACACTAGCACTTTTTGTACCCTTGATAAATTCATTCCTGTCTTTCATGGACATTAATGAGACATATGTATTCATTGGTATTAAACATTTTTTATATCAATTTCAATAAAATCACCACATTTCAAATGTCCATCTTTTAGCATCAATGAATTGACCATAAGATATGCAATACTAGCTTAACAATAGCCAGTGTGGTGCAGTCAACAACAACAAAAAATAGTACAGTGAACTAGAAAAGAAGAAAAAAAGAAAAGAAGAAAAAGAGAATGAGCGAATTAATACATAAGAGGTGTGACTAGAGTGCTGGCATTAGCTGAACATAAACTATTGCATTATGCTGGGGGGGCTGCAGCTCCAGCCAGGAAACTGTCGTCATTCTTAGCAAGGGAATCCCCTTTCTATCCATCATTTCACTGGGCAGTATACCAAGTATATAAAGTGCTGGATCCAAAGTGAAGGTAATTCCCAGCAGCTGTGTAACGCCCTTTTTAACATCCTTCTAGAGGTCCAGCATCTTTAGGCAGTCCCAATTGTGTGAAGACTCCCCCGATCCAAGCTGGCTCACTTTAACCTGTTAGGCCCCAAGCCTGTTTTTCAGGTTTCAGGCTCGAAAATGACATTCCCAGAACAAATGACCATATCTTCCCTTCTAAAAGGGTTAAATTAATAATATTTGTTCTCAAAGTAATGATAAACCTGTGAGTTGGATGTAGAAAAGTCAGAATCAATATAGATGTTTTTTATTTTAAAGAAAATTCAGATTGAACATGGTAAAAAAACTGTAAATTATAGTGTTACTTTTGTAGACGCGGCGACACAACTACCTTACATCGAGAGTAAACGCGATAACTGCGCTTGTGCAGGAGGTAGGAAACAGGCTACCGCGTTAATAGAAAATACACGCAGCGGAGTTACTCGTCGCTGCGTGTGGGCCCGTATGATTTTAGAGGTACTTGCCAACGGAAACGTAGGGACACATAACAACTAACAGTTTCCTTTTGCATTGTATAACCTACATACACACCAGATCTGCTCACGCGGCCAAACTGTAACCAAAGCCAAACATACCGGTCGACTGACCCTACCAACGCTCATGAGCCATTGTAGCAGTCGCCGTAACGTTTCAACGTAAAAGGAACGATTTAGTAGCAGCATCACCAATGCGGTTCTGTAAATACGGGCCGTGAATTAGCCCAATAAGGACAGATCAGCCCCTACAATAACGTAGGGCGTGCAATTAAGGTGTTGTCCACCTATGGAGTGCTAAATCCGGGGAATATAGAGAACTAGTTAAGTGTGCAGAAGGTAAAAGAGGTTTTGTTAAACAGAAGAGTCGGTAAAAGTCTAAGAAACACTTATCCAGAATGACTCCAATCCTCAGGGAGCTCTGAAATTCCGAGAAGGGTTCTGATAACAGCGATGAAATCCGACATTTTATGAAACACTTACGGAATCACTTATTGTTCGAATCCTCAGGATTTAAACTTCTGCTGTGCCCGGGTAAGTAGCGAATCCTCAAAGAGGGGATTTTAACAGCGCGGTCAAAGTCCTTGATGAAAATCGAGCGCAGTCATAAGGAACCACCGTCGTCATGCCCCGGGGACTAGATCTCCATGTTGAGATTTTCGCGGGTACTAACTTTTTCTAGCCCAAATGTAAGAAATTATTAGTCTTTCTATTGATTACATATAACTTGCCTATTGGGTTATTGGTGTCAAGTCGTTATTGCGTCTTATTTACATCGAATAAAATAAAAAACAACAGTAAGATAGACATAAATGGATCAATTGTAAATAAATAAAAATACGTATAAAGAACATGAGAGGTTAAATTACTATAAAAACCAAATGACAAGGAATATCATAATCTAACCTTACTGAAAGGTTGTGCACAAAAATAAATAGGATTATTAATAATTTCTCCGGAACCCTTTATAACACAAATGCTATAACACCAGTTTTGCAAACTCTGGGTGACTCTATTGAATCGATTTTACATTGATCAGATTATATAGTCTCTCAAGAAAATGGAGGTACTCGAGAGTTCAGACTGTCCTCTCGAGAGAGGGGGACGAAATCTTTGTAGATGAAGGAATATAGGCAATCGCGTCGATCGTGGTCTAAAGATGTATTGTGTCGCGGCAATGGCAACGCGGGAAGAGGGAACGAGCGAGAGAGCGATGGCGAGCGTAAACACGACTCCGACGCCGCGCGGGACTATTCGGTTGGTAGGGTGCAAGTAGTGGAATCGCGTCGGCGGGTGCAAATGTCCCGTTTACTGTTACACATTGCGCCCCACTTTTTCGCTACACAATGTAAATGAATTAAAGCTACTTACAACAATGTATAGGATCCGGCTTGTAAACCCCTACTCGGCGGTTGCGAGTTTTTACAAAAAGGGCAGGTCTCGTCGCGGGGGTCTAGACCGCGGGATCGCTGCGGACACTAATAATACGGTCTTTAACGTGGACGGCGCTATGTATGTCCACCGTTACCAGAGTTCTAAATCGTTTTTGTGGAATGTAGTAGTCATTGTGTGTCGTAATGATGAAGAAGGAACTGAAATATTGTTTGCTAGGTTTTTACTTCTTTCCCAGCGGTGAATCTTCTCTTATACAAAAATTTAATATTAATACAAACCATGAACACCGCAAGAAATCGTCAAGCCGCGAGTATAAAGTCGTCGCCGCGACGCGGCGGGTGTAAACATAATATCCCCTTTGTGACGAATGCACGTGGCTATGAATGAGAGTCGAAAGGAATAACATAGGAATCACGTGTAGTGTAAAAGGATACTAGCATTCCTCTGTGTCTCTAGATTACCCACGGTGGGAGTTATGACTTTCCTATGTTTGAACGCTGAATAGTAGGTTTCCAATCAAAGTGATATTCATGGTTGTATTAAAAA